CCACAGAATCCCTTTCTCAGTGTGTTTGGCCTCACAATAAAAGCTGGTGTCACTCGCTCTTGTAAAACAGTCTATTCATCCCCTGGATCATCCTGGCAGTAGTTCTCAAGGATGACAAGATATAGGACATAAACTTTATTGGATACAAATAGGGAGAATTGTTCATTATTTGTGAAGGTATAGGCGAAGCATTGGGGTTCATCTGAACCTTTTGGGGGTTTTTCTTGTTGTCATTGGTTTTGGCCTTCCCTTTACAAATACCCCTACCAAAACCCACAGGTAACTAAATTAGGAAAATATAGTCCAGAAAAAAGACTTAAAACCTCCCAGGAAGACGGTTATTTGATAATTTTTTCATTTGAGCATTATTATAATCATTTTTAGTTGGAATGAACAGATAGTTTTAGGCCTGAAGTCAGTAGTAAACTTACAGTTACTATACATACACACAAGCAATGAAACTGAAAGGCAGTCCAGATCTTTGTATCCTAATCCATCTCCTGTTGTTTAGGTTTTAGAACACAGTGATACCCACTTTCTTTGGGAGGCTGGAGGCTGCAGTATGCCAGTCCTCCTCGGCTTACTGATCAGATGAATGGGAAATGGTGGGAGGTCTGCTGGCCACCATCAGTCTGCTGGCAAAGTCAACAGCCAGCGCTGCCGATTGGACTTGATCTCATCAGTGTTGAACTCGAGCATATATAGTTCTTAATCTATAGTAGAGGAGTTTCTCTATCTAGACCTTGCTCAACAGACCACTTCTGTACAACAAATGTCAGAAAAAGCAGCCAGTTGAAGTAGTACCCTCTACATCTCAGTGTGATATTTTTATTTTGCATGCAAAAAGCATTTAAAGATACTAACCCTTACATCTTCTGACCCCCCCGTCAAAAATTCTTGAAATAACTAACTTCCTCAAAAAAAACCCCAAACGCTTCATCCTGAAAATTAGGAGGGGGGAGCATATAACAGGCCTATAATTGGTATTCTTGACTTGTAAACCACAAAAAGAATAAAAATGAAGTGTCTCCTTCTGTCTATCATTGAAGTCAGTGTACAGTCCTCAACAGCTTTTTAAATTTAGAAGGGGGGGAAAAAAGGGGGTCTGAATAACACAGGATCCCTTTTATGTGGAAATTTTTCAATATTTATGTTCAACTATTTATAAATTAAAGCAGATTTGTTCTAATCCGGCAAAAGTTCTATGCATGTGTAGTTTCAAGTGGTATTTCCTGCAAATTTTCAGCAAAGTGTTCCCACGATACTGCTTTTGAATTTACATTAAGCACTTGCTGATAGGCTTTGCTAAATAGGAACATGGTTTTATGCGTGCTTAGAAGTAAGCAAACTTATCAATGGTATGTTGAATTTGGTCCTTGGTGAGCAAGCATATATTGATGAATCAAAGGAACAAGAAACTCTTAACTAAAACTGTTACTTGCAGATAATTGCTCGATCCATTTCAAACCAAAACAAAGGAACAGGCACAGTGTAATATCCATGCATGGCTATATTCAATAATATCTTGTGGCAAAGAGCGTTCATGATCAAAGAGGCTGTTAGCACAATCCACATAATGGTTTTCCTGAAGGATGTTTGTTCAGATGTGAAGGTTGGAAATTGTGTACCAATTCAGTGGATATGAAAAGGAGAACTTCCTCCAGTCTGCCTGAAGCAAGACTGAGTTTAATGTTTAAGGAGGGGGGCAGGGGGGCGACCACAAATAAAACAGAGACAGTGGGCTGATAACAATCCCTGAGGGTGGTCATCATTGACAGATTTGGTAAGAACATTTGGCTTTTTTTTTTTTAATTCTTGTTTTTATTGTCCAGAATTTATACCAGGTCTTTAAGACTAAGTCTGGACATGAAGGACAACATAAGCAGAGTAATTTTGAATATGTGCACTGGGGAGCCGAAAGATGCATCATGTTACTTGTATTCTAGTTTCAAATACTAAACTTGTCTTTTTAAAGACATACAGATATGCAGGCATTGGAAGAATTATTTATACAACATGTGCTTCATTCAAAACCAGCAATAATACAGACAAATCTTTACTCTGTGTCACAAGATAACCTTAGGTTTCTTCAAGAAGCCCATAAACTGAAATGGCAACTAGCTACAGCCAGAGTTCTCAAGGAAATTCAAATAAAGCCCAGGAGGCCAATTTACATATGGAAATGGAAAAGCAATATAGATTTATAAATAACAACAATGACAATGAAGACATATAATTAGAAGTTATGCACCCTATGGGTACGTCTATAGTCAGCAAAGCACAGTAATATAAAAGTACCCAGTTCCAGATGCAGCTTAGTTGTGGTAACACAGACCTTTTATATGGTTTATTTTATGATATGCTACACTACATAGTCTATTGTCAGTACCCAAAGAGCTTGTTCAGCAGTGTAGACGTACACTGAGGTAACAAAAAGTGTGCAATGTTGTAGAGTGAGAACAGGGGTGTGAAAACATTAACAAGTACTTTCATTTCAGAAGTATTCTCCGCTCTGTAAGGTAAGTGCACTTTCAGAGAAGTCAGATCAGCTATGTTGCCTGACAGATCATGTATCTATGATGGTGTCTGAGACAGGAGCTGTGAATTATCCTCTTCTGTGTGTCCAGTTCAAAACAGACTGAGACAGATCTTCAGTGACCAGAATTTGTGGTGTTCAAGCGATTCTGAAAATTCTGGCTAAAACATAACCAAAACTTTTGAGACCTAACATGTTGAGATGTTTTTTTGTATGCGTTTGAGACCTTCATTAGGAAGCATCTTGGTACTTACGGACCTTGCAGTTATTGTCCTAGCTTTACAGGGCTTTTTTCCTAGCAGAAAGCATGAAGAATATTACAGTATCAAAACACCAGAAATGGATGGACCTGAATCCATTTCAGCGTTGTTTTGCTAAATCCTTTTAGCAGTTAGCAAAAGTATAGCATCTGCGTTTAGCTCAGGACAAGGACAGTAAATCCCATTTTTAATATTAAAGAAATTACATTATGGGTTCATTGAATGCAGTCTCACACTTCAAGTGGCATGCTGCAACATAACAGAAGTTATAATATTATCATAACTAAATTTATTGATTAAATAAGTTTATTGTAATTAGAAAGACCAAATAACAGGCATGCTTACTAACTGAGCAATGATTCCCTGAAAGGAGAATATTTCAATATCCTGACAGGTAGTATTGCTTCTGTGGAAGGTTTTACTGTATTTTCAGTAAGCCAATCTGGTCTGTCACATACTTAATTTTTAATGCCAACGCCAATGACAGCATGTGTTTTTAAATGCAGCTACAGCTGCCACTTAATTACCAAGTCATCTGACCGCTGTACTGGAAAATAAAAATGCCACGATGACATGAAAGCATTGAAAAAGCTACTTGCCAGAAAGCCACTTCCTTGTGCTACACAGTAAGTTTTCTGATACTAAGAGAGGTTGTATTTAACCATCGTAGACAGCGAGAGGAAAGAATTCTGCAGCAGATCTTAGTACCAACAAACAAAACCTGTTTGATTCCAAAAAAGGCTACATATTCATTTCAGCACCAGGAGACTTGCAAAGACTTGCTCATCAATAGATCTTTCCTTCATGAAACAGCAAGTGGTACTATTTGTAGAGAGAAAATTATGTAAGTACACACATGCAGAGGTTTATTAAAAATATTTCTTTAAAAATACATGTTTAATAAGTGAAACAGAGGTGTTAGTCCTATCGTTCTTGTACATAAGACTTACTAGTAGTCTCATTTTTAACAAAAAAAAAAAAAAGAAACAACGCCTATTTGATTTAAAACAGTGAAGAGAAAACTCCAGAAGATCAGCACATTTTGAAAATGCAAGCATAGGATCACTAGCAATGTCTATGCATTTTAAAGATCTGTAGCACTTAATGATTACAGCTTGTTTTGTTAAGCTACATACAATTAAAGCAGATAAAAACAAGTCATTGCTTGAATGCTAATTATAAGGAAAAACAGCTTCAAAAAGTGCTTTTCTTTGAACTGTAATAGGAAAAGGAAAGGGAAACAATTACAGATGGGAAATCCCAGAACAGAGCAGCCAACCTAATATTTGCATATCACATGAGAGTCATAGAATCAGAATAGAAAAGAAAGAAGGAATTGTTACTAGCAGAAGCAACAGAATTAAAGTGTTTACTAAAATATAACCCCAGAATAGAGCTGCCAAACTAGTAAGTACATATAATAAACGAAAAGAGAGAGACAACTGTCACTAGCAACAGCAAGAAAGCAGAACTTTATTAGCAGAACTAAAGATACATCTACACCACAAAGTGTGGCAGCACCTTAGAGAAAAGTGAGAAATCTCTGAGCAAGACGGTATGTCAACATAGCGTAGACGAATGCCATGTAAGGATACTAAGTGGGTTCCAAAGCAACATAATCACTTTAAAACAGTCCTCTGCCTCGATTTCTTAAGTATCTCGGATGCTCCTTGTTCTGGAATTAGACTGTTCTGAATAAACAGGGAATTACTGTCCCAGGCCGAATTGCAAACCATAGATGTTTGTTTTGTTGGTGGTGGTGGCTTTTTTTGTGGTGTTGTGTTGTTTTGTTTTTTTTTTTTTAAAAAAAGGGACCACTGCATCCCCCAAACAAACCTCAAAACACTCGCCCTGATTTAGCAAGACTCTTACCACCTTAGAAGATTGAACCCTGCCACGAGAAAGGTAGCAAGAAGTAATGACTATAACAGAAGGGAAGACAGGATAAAGAAATAAGAACAGATGTTTCTACTTCCTGTATACATAATTTGATCACTTCGGATCACATATGACTATAAACACCAAATAAAACTACTGACCAACTATAGTATGTTCTTAGTTTCACAGGATTACAAAAGCAGAAAGTGTCCTGAAGCAGTAAGAGGCCCTTTCAAAGTGCTGTTCTTACTCCATGCTTGCTTGAACTTTACTCCACATTTGAAGGTGTTAACTACTTTTAGTACATGTGAAATTGCTATACTTACTACTCCCCACCACAGGGCATCTGCATAGCTGCCAAACTCTGTTTCTCCAGAATCATTTACAGCATCTTTTTCAGCCAGGTACACAAAATAAGAGGAAAAAATCAGGCCCAGAAATCCAATGTAGAGTGTAGTTATCAGTTCCTGCAAAGAGAATCAAAATAATGGCATTGTGATATCGTTGAGACACTTGAATTACCTATCACTGATATTTTTTCAAAGATAACTGGAACAGAAGAATGTAATCTCAACAATTAATAATCAATGACATGGAATGTTGACTGTGCAAATTAACAAAAATCCACTGAGCTCAATGGTGAAAAAAATTTACACCATTGCTGATGACTTGGCCCAGCATGCACATTTCAGAGTCAAAAGCTTCCTCACTTGCAAGTGTGGCTCATTAACCATTTGGTCACCAAAAAGTAGTTGGGTAATTTTTTCAAACAGTGCCACATCGAAAACAACTTTGGAATTTAGATATGTATTTTTAGAAAAGTTTAGACTGCTTTTCAGGAGTCTCATTTTCTGTGGTAAGTTCAACTACAAGTCAAAAGTTTGCAAAGGCGGAAGAAAATATTTTTAATTTGTCCCTTGAACAACAAAGAACAGCCATACTTGGTTAAAATAAATGACTGCCTGCCTCCACACTAAATATATTTGACATCATCAGCGCGTCTGCATACATGCTGTTCTGAATATAAGGACTTTTGCATCAATTAGGATGCCGCTCCTCAGAGTACTGAAACTTACTTGTCTGTGTATGAACACTACTGATCCCAGCAGCCTCCATGTACCACCCTGACGATCAACATGCAGCATTCGTAAAATCTGCAGAAAACGGATGCCCCTGGAACACAATTTTTAAATGAATGAAGAGATTAAAGATACAAGAGAAGAAATACAGGCAGAGAAGGGAAGACTGTCTCTTCCAAAGGACCGTTTTAAGAGAGAGACATCGTATTTTATGTTAGACTTAGCAGCCTGTCTCTTTTCACTCCATTCTCCCATCTTTCATCTTTTTTGTTAGGAATACTGCTGTATTCCTGCAAAGAAGATTGCATAACAGGACAGACCTTTGTACACATGGCTAGTAAGGATAACTCAAGGATTCAGGAATTTTGGACACAAACTGTGAATGCTCTAGAAATCATTCATCCATTCCTATTTGACCTGCTTGCCAGGATGGGAACAGCTAACTAAAGATCTGAATTCCTCATCTTTGAGGAATTTCAACTAGACAGTCCAATAATATTTTAAAATATTCTTTTTATGAGAGTCACTGCAATCCTAGAGCATTGCTGCAGCTAGTGCACAGAGCACAGTACACTGCCCTGTACTCTCTCTTTCAAGAAAACCAAGTGGTGTGACCTTCCTGAGCACAAGGTGGATTCAGTCCATTAGGAATTCACAACCACTAACCCCAGGCTTTTTAGGAAGAAGCAGCTTGAACACGTCAGAGACATGAAGCGTGAAAGATGTGCTACAAAACTGAGCCAAGAAACTGAAACAGGATTTTGGTAGAACCCACCTAGTTGAGGAAAGGAGGCAGAGGTATGGGTACTTCTATCCCTGCCAGACATAAATGCATTATGACCAGACAACACATGCAAAATTTTGTTTCCCCTACACTTAAGGGGATCACTGTTTCACACCCATACACAATTGGTGATCTGCTCTGTTACATGACTTTGATTGCTGACTTATTCTCTCCTGCAAGAATTGAAATAGGAGGTAAAAAAAAAAAAATAAATAAACCAAAACCACCTTAACTCAGACAGCACTATTTTCTTTTATTGCATATAATTACCTGATAGCTGAGGTCGCAAAGACTTGACCTTTAGAGCCCACACAAAGAACTATCATGGAAGCAACAACTACAATTAAATCTGGGAAAAAAAAAATTAAATTAAAAAAATGAGTTAGCAGCATCTTGAAATACTTCTGCAAGAATATTACTAGAACCAATCGCAATATTACTTCAACAATTTGAACAGTCACCCCAAATTACGTTTTTTGTTTATATATCAAGAGATCTCTATTGTAACATATAAAGAAAATATTATTGTGTAATATAATGGAAAGGTTTTACTGGGATAGGTCCAAGATGGCCACATTCTAGATGAATTATGAGAGTGATATGAATTACTATAAAGCAGCCTCAGCAGCCTGGAATCCTTATTAGCTGTAACCCGTGAGGAATTTCAGCAGTTTCTACCTATTATCTCTTCTGTGTATCTTATTTTTCCTGCTGTTTTAGACAGTATTTTATTCATTGACATTTGGGGGTTTATTTCATATATAAGACAATTGCCTTACTACTATTTCATCTGTCCAGGTGTAAAAAGGAGAGAAAAATTGGAATTAGTGTATAAGTCTAATTTAGTTTAAGTCATCATTACCCTAGGACTGTACTCTAAATCTCTGTGCCTTGGGCCTAGTTAATTTTGGAAAGGAACTCTGTATCCTTGAAAAATAGTTACACACGTGGGGAAGTGGAACTTTGTTTTGCTTTCCAAGCTGAAATAATTGGATGATGTTTCAGAACCCCTAGTGTTCTAGGTCCCAAGAGAAATGGATTGTGGACAGAGCGCAAAGATGCAGTCAAAGCTATTTTACAGTTGCAGTCACACCTGAGATACAGTTGTTATTTTATATATATACACAGAGAAGCTAAACTAAACTATTTTATGATTGCAAAAATACTCAGGTACAAAATTTTGTAATATACACTCAACAAAATTGTAGATAGTTTATTAAAACCTGCATCCTCTACTCAACAACAAACAATGTTTCTGAGCAGTGGAAAAAAACTATGTCACAGAACAAGAATTACTATCCTTCTGTAACAATACTCCTTTTCCAAAATCTGGTTTGTTTGATCCATTTATATTTTAAGTACTTCAAGGGCAAGGGTCTTTACATAGTTCTCTCAATACTGGCTAACAAAATACAGAGTGATTTTGGATTACTCTGTTTCTTTCAATGAAATTGTTAAAGGCATGACAAGCATTCTAAAAAAAAAAAATGGTTTGTGACATATATGGAATATATAGATGTAATTTCTAAGAACACTGAAGTCACATTAGGAAGCTAACTGCAGCGAATATCAAAGGTGCCCACTTCCAAATGTATCACGGAAAACCATATTTTAATCCAATAGCTACACAAAACAACTACAGTGCATCTATCAAGCTCCACCATGCAGTATATAGCTCAATTAGAGTGCAAAATAAACTCACAATAAATTATTCAAACGGCTGCTGGGAAAAAAAAAAAAAAAAAGCTGCTCAGTATATTTAAAAAAATACAGTTGTAGCTATTGTACAGTGTCTGGGATCCTGAGGTCACAGGAGACAGGACTATGGCCAAGTCTTATTTCTGGCAAAGCTTCAGATCACTTGTGAAAAGAAAACACACTGCTCTTCTGGAAAAACAAATCAAGCTACATTTGTTCTCAAATGACAGTCTCATAGATTCCTGAAAGGAGATTCAGATCTACATTAAAGTGAATGACAAGAGCTCTTGCTCTAAATTGGCTACAACTGCTGCAGAAACACCACTTCTTAAAACTTTCAAGGAGAACTTTTACTCGTTGTTTACGTCAACATTGCAAGTTGTGCATACTCACCAATGATTGAAATAGGCTTCCTAGCAAAACGAAGCCTTCCCCATATTCCAACATATTTACTGCGGCATCCTGCTGACCATAAGCGAACCACGTATTCTGTTCCAAAGAATACCACTAATACAATTTCCTAAAAGAAACAGACAGGGAATTAGGTTAATTCTCTACTCCACGTCTTCCATCTTTTTTCAGAATTTGTTAGGAAACTCTACGATCAAATGTAAAATTTGGAAGGTGAAAAAAATGTCAGCTATACCAAAATGTTCTAAAGTAACAGAAAAACCTGTAAGAGTAAAGAAATAAAAGATTAAGAGCAAGCTTAAACACTTTAATTGCATGCAGTTTGGCTTGTCTATACATACAAAAACCGAAAACCATTCTGTGCAATTCACTTGGTCTAATTCAAACAAAAGGCTTCCTGACTGAGCCAAAGAAAACAAGCACAGTCTGCATTGAGATGATGAGTATTTTGCTAGTGTATTTCATTTTGGGAAGAGGTGTGCTTCACATTCCGTTTACCATATCAGCTTAACCTCCCACTTATTTTTACTTTTCCAGTGTTCCTTTAATCTCACGTGGACTGAGTAAAGACGGCTAGTACCCATTACCCATATGTCCATCTCCAAGTGCACTGAAAACATAGCGAGACCTCAAGCGCACTTGTCCCATCCTCTTGGCAACAATTTGAGACCTCAGCAGAAACAGATGTCTCGTCCTGAAGCACTGCTGGTGTTAACCACAGACCTACGCTAAGGTATGACTCCGGAAATGCCTGCAAAGTGATCGATGTCAAAGACATTCGACATTCTTGTGGATCAGACAAAGGTACAATTATGTCATATTTGGAACTTAGTGAGTGTGCTTTCCTACAGACTGGTCGAGTATGGCATACTCAGCATAGTTTCCTCGAGTATCAGGGAACAGCAATACTTCCTTATTGGCCAACTCAATTAAGAACCGCTCACATTCTCTGTCAGAGCCAAGAGCAAAACCTACTAATTGGAACGGTGACAGTGGTTTGTAATTGAAAACACGTAGCGCATGGCATATGGAAAGAGTAAAGCAGAGAAACCAATCATAAGGTATCACAGTGACATAAGAGAACGCAGATTAAGAGAACGAGCTGCTTATTTCATAGAGTGATTTAACATAAAGAGCGACTGCAGAGAAGATGACATGTTTTGAACCTTTTATCCAGCCTCCTAACGTTTCTGCAGGGCTCACTGCTGTTTCTCATAACAGATTGGCAAATGGGGCTCAAGACGGGTCCTATGATTATTTTCTAAATTAACCGAAATAATGAGGATACAACCCTACTCCAGTCAAGATGAGTGGGAATCATATTAGAATCATAGAATCACAGAATGATTTAGGTTGGAAAGGACCTTAAAGATCATTGAGTTCCAACCTTCCTGCCATAGGCAGGGACACCTCCCACTAAAACCGGTTGCCCAAGGCCCCATCCAGCCTGGCCTTGAACACCTCCAGGGCTGGGGCCTCAACAACCTCTCTGGGCAACCTGTTCCAGTGCCTTACCACACTCAAAGTAAACAACTTCTTCCTAATGTTTAATCTAGACCTGCCCTCTTCCAGTTTATCTCCATTCCCCCTCGTCCTGTCACTACATGCCCTAGTAAAAAGTCCTTCCCCAGCTCTCCTGTAGGCCCACTTTAGGCACTGGAAGGCCACAGTAAGGTCTCCCCGGAGCCTTCTCTTCTCCAGGCTGAACAGCCCCAACTCTCTCAGCCTCTCCTCATAGGAGAGGGGCTCCAGCCCTCAGATCATCCTTGTGGCTCTCCTCTGGACACACTCCAGCAGGTCCATGTCAACATTTCTTATGTTGAGGACTCCAGAGCAGCTTCACTAACTCTATTAGCAGCTTCAAAAATGCATGGGACACTGCCCTGAATACTGAGTGAAATAATAGGTATGAATACAGCAAAAAAGAGGGGGGAAAAATGTTATGCTTCAGTTGATTTTGCTATAATCTTTTTGTGGTTCTAAAAAGTCAGTCTCCTGATAACAAACTGCTCATCTCGGGGCACTACAGTGTTGAAGTTCTACTCCGTGACACTTCTAGAAAAGCTAGGAGAACATTAGC